GAAAGTTCTCCTCTCAGAAGTTCCTCAGGAACCATGAACACCTGGGCCTACAGTCAGATTTAAATAGTTTCATTGTTGAATAAAATAGCTGATGATGAATGGTCAGTATTTGTTGCTGACCTGCTGGAGGAGAAGGTTGCAGATCTCCTGCAGCAGGACTATGAGTCTGGATGGGTGGTGGTAGAATTTGGAGTTGGACCAAAGCAGAGAGACTGTGTGCATCAAAGGTCGGACCAGAACCTGGACCTCAGGAAACTCCATGCTCTCCATGTCTTCAAAGAAACTCTGCAGTGGTTTCAAGTAGGAGCAGATGTCTTCAGCCTCCTTCAATGCTTCAGTGAGGTAGGGGGAGTGGGGGGAGAGGAGGGAGGGGTGAGAGGAGGGAGGGGGAGCCAGAGAAAGGCTTTATTCACAGTTCATTTGTCATCAGCTCAATATCAAAACAATCACACTCACATGGTGTGTGTGTGTGTGTGTGTGTGTGTACAGATGACTCACCCATCAGAACTTCATGTTTCATGTTGGTCAGAGCAGGACAATAACAGCTCTCCACCTGCTCCAACAACGCCACCATCTGGCGAGTTTTAGAAGAGTTTAACTGTGAGAAAATTCCCTCCAAATCATCATATCTGAAACAAAAACAACATGTCAGATCTGATTGGTTGAACTGATTTTCTTTGACCAAAGACATTTTTCTTCCACAAAAGAAAGAACACACGATCAGAGTGTTCAACCGTAGGTCCAGGAACATCTGGAACCGCCGGTGATCAGCTCTAAGATAGAACAGCAGGAGAACTCTCTGCCAACCTGTGGTTCCAGAACCTCAGCTCAGCCTGAGGTGTGGACGTCAGATCTTCCAGCAGGACTTCAGAAGAGTCTTTCTTCAGTACGCTGCTGATCTGATGGCTCCACTCGATCACCGTGGACTCCAGGGTGTAGACCAGACCACTGTCCACCACTGCCCCCCTCTGGTAGTCCCTAGACAAACAAACAAAAACATGTAATGTATCTGGTCTGACTTTTCTCACACTACTTCTGACTGTTAGTCACCTTATGTCTGCATGTGATGCCTCCTCCTCCAACCTGTTTAAACCAGCAGGGGGCGCCAGCAGAGTCTTCCCCTGCACTTGCCCTGACACCACGTGCATGCTGCTCTTCAGAGTGTGAACATGGTTCAGAAAGTCCTGGGTCACAGCCTTGGACAGTTGGATGTGGTGCTTGCTGTTGGCCAGCAGGGGCGCTAGAACCTGGTGAAAGAGAGAAACACACATGATGGCGTGATGTTGACCTAACGATATAAGTTTACAAAATAATGCCATTCTAGTTAAACTGGTTCTTTTTTTGACTAATATTTTGATTTATACATTCAAATTTACTTCTTCGAATTCAGATTTCTATAAATTGCATATGTGAGTTAAAATAACCACTGTGCTCGTTCTAGTAGTTACATAACTACAGTGGTAGTCTGACATTTAAAGTACAACACTGGTGGCTGGAGATGTCTGAAGCAGGGAGCTGGGCCACCCTTCAGTCATGTAAATTGTGCCTGCTGCCATCTAGTGGCATCAACTGACCGTACAGTTGAGTTGCAATGCAGGTAAAAACATAGAATATACAACTTCAAACTAATATTTTTACATTTTTAAGCTGATTGGACATCGACTGTTAGCTTTTATCTTTAGCTAAATTCCAACCTTGGTCATGGAGTCTCACTTTAAAAATATGAACCGTCTCCTTAGCACTTTGACATCTTAACAATTGAACAGGTTAACATCTGACCTGGTCCACAGCACAAAGGAGCTGAGGAGCAGCAGAGGAGCAGCTCCACATCCTGACATCTTCCTTTATGGTCTGGGGACTCAGCACTGCTGGGGTCTTCTTTGTCAGTTTTACAGTCCTGCTCCTGGAGGAGCAGGAGTCAGAGATGTGCAGGAGTCCATCTAAACCCACAGTCAGGAGCAGGAAGGGTTTGCCTGGTCTGTCCAGGAAGTCCTGCAGGTGTCTCCTGTTGTCCTCCACGGACAAACACCTCTGCCAAACATCTTTCTTCACCCTAAAAGCTCGAAGAGCACATTCCCCCAAGAAGTCCAGTCTCTGGTCCAGTTTGTCCTCACCTGTGGGCTCCTCCATTGTCCTGCTGCGGTAATATTCTTCCTGTCGCTGCTGCTCAGAACCCGAACTGATTTATTCTTCTGTGTCTTGGTTCCCATGGTAACACAAAGTTTAGATGTTGCTAGGACACCAGAGCGATATGGCTGTGATCTAGGACCAGGTCCAGGATCCAGACTTTCTTCTTTTCTTCCATTGTTTTCAGTGTGAAAATACACACCTGAGCATTGGCTGAGATTCACACAAAGAGCTTTTCTTTTTGTAAAAACCTACTCACTATAAACTTACTGTTAGGATAACAGTAATAAGACTTTTGATTTAAGAGTAAAATATTTCTGTGGAAGAATTAACAGACCATCAACAAAATGGACCTAAAAACAGAATCAAACCATTAAATAATAAAAACACCTCTTTGTTCATTCATCAATTTCTGCTGATGATGAATGACAGATGAGGACAATGTTTTTAAAGTATTTTAAAAAGTGTATTAGAATTATGTCACAACATCAGTCCAAATTCTTCAAAGAAATCAAATTTGACAGTATTTTGTTTCAATGACACAGAGGTCCCCGGGGGATGGGGGGAAGGGGTCAGGGGGTGAGGGAGGTGAGGAGGTGAAGCAGCTGAGGGCGTGAGTAATTCCACTCTCTTTTGTCACTGTTGGTAAAACATTCGTTAACGAGAACATCAGAACCTTCAGTGATTGGACCAGAACCATCTGGTCAACAGAAATCTTTACTCACTCAAAAACTGATAAGTCTGAATGCGTAGTAATAGACTCGGCCACATGATGGCAGCAATGCACTGCTAAATCCGTTTAAACATTTTTTTTAAAGTTTCTACTTTTAGACATAAATGACAAAAAACTGAATTATATATATATATACTTATATATATATATACACACACACACACACAAGTTCCGTTTTCACTATAACGACTTATCCTCATAACTCGAATATATTCTAATGGTTTAATTTTCGTAAAAAGTCATCGCGAAATCTTATTTAACATTTTTTCCTCGATGTGTCCCTAAGACTTAATACCTTAGTGTCATTAACTTACATCTTTTCTCAACTTTGCTGTTTTTTTTTCTTTTTCTTGTCGAACGCCCTGCCACTCCGTGGAACCTGTAGAACTGACAGTTTGTTTGGAAACTTCATCCTGGTTTACACCTGGTTTATACTCACTCGGTTCAGCTTCTTTATGGTTAACTTTTTTGAATGACTTGTTCAGTTTGTTGTTTTAAACTAAGAGTATTTTCTTGAACACGTAACAAAACCCACGCAGCAATGCTGCTTTCATCTGGCCAGCGACAAAACCAGTGGGAAAAAAACTGCGTTAGCTCTTTGCTAGCTGTTCCAGCTAACGCACTTGCCGAGTGTGACGTCAGGAGTACGTGAAGACTAAACGAAAAATTAGACAATTAAAAAACAAAGACATGAACCCAATTTAAAATTGACAAATTTAGACAATTAAAAAACAAATACATGAACCCAATTTAAAATTGACAAATCATTAAGACATAGAGAAAAAAAGATAAATAACAAAAGGATATAACAAATAATAAATGTGAAAAAACAGAGTTATATTTATCTGAATTACAGACAGCAGGCTGATTGAATAGGTCGGGTTTTTTTATTTATTATTATTATTTTTTCTTAAGTGAAGCTGACGTCAGTCTGAGCGAAAATCAAAGCAATTTTTTTACACAGTTAAATCGTATTTATTGATCAGAAAGTTTTTGTTGCTCGTTTGGTTTTCAGCGGCAGATTTGTTTTTTAAAAAACCTGCAAAAAAACTAAATCCACAAACAGGAAGTAGATCAATATTAGCTCATTAGATCTTCTCAGAAGTCCAGCTGCTGCTCCATCAGCTCACATAGGAGACCACCTCCTCAAACTTCAGCTGCATTCCTCCAGAACAGTGATATCATCACAGCAATGATGATCCAGGAGGTGAGACACTGCTGAAGCCCACTGAGTACGGTCTGTGGAGATCTTATCTCCTCCAGGTTCCTTTATGGTCCAGACCACGTCCGTCAGAGTTCTAGTTGTAGATCAGATGTCCATGTCAGCTGGTCTAATGTCTCCAGTCTTGTTCTCTCTCACCCACAGTTCCCGGTCTTTGTTTGGGTCCACATTCTGCAGGAGCTGGTCCACAGGTTCTACCGTCTGAAAATTTAAGACAATATTTGAAAAAATAAAATTAATATAAAAACTCTTTTTTTTATTTCAAACCAGGAAATGGACAGAGAGAGAGAAAATATCAGACAAAAGTTGTTACAGATGGAGCTGTAACAAACGAGGAGAAGAAGACTTCAGAGGAGAGATGGCAGCAGATGATCCAGTGTGGCGCCCCCTAAACGGGTGTTACCTCAGTAGTATCCTGTAAACCTAAACTCATCAGCAGTCTGTGTACTGGAAACATGTCTGATTCAAGACATGGTAGTTTCATTCAGTAGGAGACTGAGAATCAGAACAATAAAATGAGAACCAGGAATAACAGAAAGGGAATGAGAACTTCCTTGTCTGGTCTGATGTCATCGTACCAAGTGTGTGTGTGTGTGTTGAAACATCACTCACACTCTGGTTGAACATGTCCGTCTCATGTCTCAGGGTGGTGTACTGACACAGGTGCTGTCTGATCATCTCCACCCGCTCCACCTCTAGGCGCTCCAGCTCCTGATGATACGGATAAACGGATCAGCGTGTGTTACAGCGCCACCATATGACTGTAAAGTGAAAAGTGTGTTCTTCTCACCAGGCTGGTGGTGACCATCTCCTCAAACCACTTGGACTGGCACTGGTTATAAAGATCCACACAGCGCACCAGCTCGTCCCCTGACACACAGAACAGACAGAAACACCACCATCATCATCATCATCATCATCACCATCATCAGCAGCAGCAGCAGCAGCAGCAGCAGCAGCAGCAGCAGCTCTGATTGGTTAGATCATACTGAGTTAATAAATTCGTCTCTGAGTTACTGGATGATCTTTTAGTACACACTGTCTACAGCAGGGGGCGTTGCTGTCCCACATTTTTTAATGTAGTCTTGTTTTTTCCTGAGCTGATGACATGGTGACAAACAAACAGAACATTTGTCACAGTGGTGTGATGTTATCTGTCAGTGCTGCTTCAGCTGTGTTTCCTGACGACGACCCTGACAACGGCACTGATAAAGTCACAGGGTTCACCACGGAACTGTTTTCAGTACTGTTTTCTGTCTCCCTGGAGAAGAACTCCCCCAGAGTGACTCTTGAAGTATTTCTTTTATCCAAACTAACAAGTTAGTGTTCGTGTCTGAGCTGACAACATCTGCTCACCTTTTAGCTTCACATCAGTTAACTGTTGTTCAACCTTTGTCAGTGTGTAGCTAACTTTGTTTTAAACTGTGTGTTCTGAGCAGGAACCCTCACCTGCCTGCGTGGACTTCCTGCGGGCCTTCTTGATGTCTTCTTCTGTCTTGGTGCTGAGTTTTATCTCCATCTGCTGAGTCTTCAGCTCCAGCTCCTTCTGACGTTCTGACAAAGCTTTACGAGCCTGGGGTTGAGACCAGAACCAGATCAAAGATCAAAGATCAAACAACCAGGGTCCTCCTGAAGAACCAGGCTACAGTTGGTGTTGGTACCTTCTCCACTGCAGCACAACGTCCCACCAGCTGCTTCCGTAGATCTGAGATGTGATGGTCAAACCTCTTCATGTCCTTCTTGAAGTTCTCTCTGAAGGCCAACAGGGGTTTCTCCACTTCACTCTGGAGCTGAGACGGAGAAACAGAGATGTGATCCAGCTGGAGATAACAAAGATCTACCAAGGTTCTCTTTGCCTCCACGGAGGATTAGTTCTAAATCCACATCTCTTCTGAACAAATGATCTCTCTGAGTCGTTTTATTTCAACCACCAACCAGGTTCTGTGTGTGTTCTGAAGGATCAGCAACCACAAGATCTGAAGTCACTGTTTCTTTTCTTCATTCTCAAATGTGTCCTGAGGTTCTAACCCTGTCCTGTAGACCTGCAGGACCTTCTTTGTTATTTGTGCTAACTTTGCTAAATGTTAAACACCGTAGCATCAGTATCTTCTTCTACATCCAAAGGGTTCTGTTGGACCAGAGACAAACTCAAGCAGGTTTCAACCATGTCTGAACCTCCTTGTCTATCTGCGGAGGAGACGTTTGTCTTTTCCTTCTCCTCACCAACCCTCAGTAGTTTCACGTGAGGTGGAACGTTTCCGTGTTCAGTTGATGTTTCTGTTGTTGTTAACAACCATAAACATGTTTATAGTTGTCATGTTTCATGTTTCATGAGTTTGTGGCTGGAGTGTCATGAACATACAAGAGCTTCACCTTTGAGGAGAACTTCAGATGGACTTCAGCTTCATCAGTCAAACTCTTCTTCAGCTGAGCCCAGGCTTCACCCAGTGTCCTGAGATAAAGACAAAATATTTATGACAAAGATGTGAGACAGGGGAGACAAATATAAGACACATGAGACTCTGTCCATCTGTCTGTCTGTTTACAATGTTTTTTTGTAGTGTACGTTATTCAACTTTTCATCTTCTTGTTACTCGTCCGTGTTTTTCAGAGGGAGCAGCAGGAGAACACAACTCCTCCTCCTCTTCCTCCTGCTGCTCCTCCTCCTTCTTATGCTGGTCCTCACAGTCGGTCCTCAGAACCAGCTCAGGTCAAGACTGAAGTCACATGCCTTGCAGCTTCGTCTCCACCACACAAACGGTGAATTCAGGACAAATAGAAAATAGTTCTGGGCATCAGGAACCGATGAACAGAGCAGCGATTGTTGAGCAGGAACAACAGAAGTGTCTGACACAGAGGGGAATGACAGGGTTCTTCTGTTCCCTTCGCTCTGTGGGTGGAATCTTCTGGATTCTCTCCTCAACAGTTCCACCTCCCTCTGCTCTGACCTCCTCGTACCACAGAAACAGAAACTCAACAAATGTGTCTGCAGGTCCTGGAAGTGTGCGACACCATACAGTCACGGTGGTCGTCTGTATTCAGCTAGAACTTTGAGAACTCAGTCGGTTCCTTATCGTTGAGTTAACACTGCAGCAGCTGTTAATCTGACTCTGCAATCCTAATCCATAATCCTGAACTCAACCTGTAGCACATCACATCCCTCTCTCCCTCTCTCTCTCTTTTCCAGTGTCTGTCAGTGTCTCTCACCCGTCCTCCTGTGCAGCCAGCTGGTTGTGGGACAGTTTGGACAGATTCTTGGCGTATTCTTCTTCAATCTTTATCCTACAATGGAACAAAGAACAAAAACAGAGAAGAGTTTCATCAGCTGACGTGTGTGTGTGTGTGTGTGTATAAAGCTGAATGAGAATGTCCCTCTTTAAATAGAATGAGGAAGTGGTTTGTGGCCTCGGGGTTTAATTTTGATGGTTACAAAAAAAAGGAAACAGATGTGTGTTTCTGAGGGGATCGGTTCTAGATCACTGATCATCTCTAGACCACTGATCGGTTCTAGAACACTGATCGGTGTCCAACCTGATGGACGGACACATAAATGGACAGATTGACTTCATTGATCCCTGCTGGAAAATTACAGTAGTCCAGCCATTGTCACAACTTTAATGAACAGTGTCTGTGTCAGTGTAAAGAAGCTGGGCCCTGGACCCTGGACCCTGGACCCTGGAACCTGGACCCTGGGCCATGGATCCTGGACCCTGGACCCTGGAACCTGGACCCTGGGCCATGGATCCTGGACCCTGGACCCTGGAACCTGGACCCTGGACCCTGGGCCATGGATCCTGGATCCTGGATCCTGGACTCTGTGGTACCGTTCTCTGATGAAGTCTGCCATTCCCTTCTGCATCGGTTTCCCCTTCAGCTGTTTGTGCAGCAGAGCCTCGAAGCCTGTGAGACTGACGTTCCCCTGAGGATCTTTTCTGTCACTCTGTTCCAGATTGAAGACAAACATAGTTTGGAGAACATCAGAACAGAACATCAGCACAGAACATCAGCACAGAACATCAGCACAGAACATCAGCACAGAACATCAGCACAGAACATCAGCACAGAACATCAGCACAGAACATCAGCACAGAACATCAGCACAGAACATCAGCACAGCTTCATGACTCAGTCAGATCACAGAACCTGCAGTAGAATCAACATTCTGCAGAGTCAGGAAGAACCAGGCCGATCAAGTCTTAGCATCACACAGAGAAACATTTGGACTATAAATCTGAGTGAACTTCACGTTCACACTAGTGTGGTGTGAAAAAGATCTTCACCTTTGATCATATTCAGAGAACGTAGTTGTTGATGAGACATTTTTTCAGCTTCTTAAACAAGTTTATTTAAACCCTGTATGTAGCCTAGCCTAGCCTAGCCTAGCCTAGCCTAGCCTAGCCTAGCCTAGCCTAGCCTCCCTATGGTCTCCTATAGCCAGCCACCTGGCTAACACCTTGAACTGTGAACCTGGGTTGAGTGTTGAGATAACCTTGGCACCAGGGTCACGAGTGCAGCCCTAATTAAGGTTCATTATTTGTGCAGGAGACGACGCCCCCCTCCCCCATTACCCCCCCTCTTCACCTTTGAGGAGAACTTCAGATGGACTTCAGCTTCATCAGTCAAACTCTTCTTCAGCTGAGCCCAGGCTTCACCCAGTGTCCTGAGATAAAGACAAAATATTTATGACAAAGATGTGAGACAGGGGAGACAAATATAAGACACATGAGACTCTGTCCATCTGTCTGTCTGTTTACAATGTTTTTTTTGTAGTGTACGTTATTCAACTTTTCATCTTCTTGTTACTCGTCCGTGTTTTTCAGAGGGAGCAGCAGGAGAACACAACTCCTCCTCCTCTTCCTCCTGCTGCTCCTCCTCCTTCTTATGCTGGTCCTCACAGTCGGTCCTCAGAACCAGCTCAGGTCAAGACTGAAGTCACATGCCTTGCAGCTTCGTCTCCACCACACAAACGGTGAATTCAGGACAAATAGAAAATAGTTCTGGGCATCAGGAACCGATGAACAGAGCAGCGATTGTTGAGCAGGAACAACAGAAGTGTCTGACACAGAGGGGAATGACAGGGTTCTTCTGTTCCCTTCGCTCTGTGGGTGGAATCTTCTGGATTCTCTCCTCAACAGTTCCACCTCCCTCTGCTCTGACCTCCTCGTACCACAGAAACAGAAACTCAACAAATGTGTCTGCAGGTCCTGGAAGTGTGCGACACCATACAGTCACGGTGGTCGTCTGTATTCAGCTAGAACTTTGAGAACTCAGTCGGTTCCTTATCGTTGAGTTAACACTGCAGCAGCTGTTAATCTGACTCTGCAATCCTAATCCATAATCCTGAACTCAACCTGTAGCACATCACATCCCTCTCTCCCTCTCTCTCTCTTTTCCAGTGTCTGTCAGTATAAATCACCCGTCCTCCTGTGCAGCCAGCTGGTTGTGGGACAGTTTGGACAGATTCTTGGCGTATTCTTCTTCAATCTTTATCCTACAATGGAACAAAGAACAAAAACAGAGAAGAGTTTCATCAGCTGACGTGTGTGTGTGTGTGTGTGTATAAAGCTGAATGAGAATGTCCCTCTTTAAATAGAATGAGGAAGTGGTTTGTGGCCTCGGGGTTTAATTTTGATGGTTACAAAAAAAAGGAAACAGATGTGTGTTTCTGAGGGGATCGGTTCTAGATCACTGATCATCTCTAGACCACTGATCGGTTCTAGAACACTGATCGGTGTCCAACCTGATGGACGGACACATAAATGGACAGATTGACTTCATTGATCCCTGCTGGAAAATTACAGTAGTCCAGCCATTGTCACAACTTTAATGAACAGTGTCTGTGTCAGTGTAAAGAAGCTGGGCCCTGGACCCTGGACCCTGGACCCTGGAACCTGGACCCTGGGCCATGGATCCTGGACCCTGGACCCTGGAACCTGGACCCTGGGCCATGGATCCTGGACCCTGGACCCTGGAACCTGGACCCTGGACCCTGGGCCATGGATCCTGGATCCTGGATCCTGGACTCTGTGGTACCGTTCTCTGATGAAGTCTGCCATTTCCTTCTGCATCTGTTTCCCCTTCAGCTGTTTGTGCAGCAGAACCTCGAAGCCTGTGAGACTGACGTTCCCCTGAGGATCTTTTCTGTCACTCTGTTCCAGATTGAAGACAAACATAGTTTGGAGAACATCAGCACAGAACATCAGCACAGCTTCATGACTCAGTCAGATCACAGAACCTGCAGTAGAATCAACGTTCTGCAGAGTCAGGAAGAACCAGGCCGATCAAGTCTTAGCATCACACAGAGAAACATTTGGACTATAAATCTGAGTGAACTTCACGTTCACACTAGTGTGGTGTGAAAAAGATCTTCACCTTTGATCATATTCAGAGAACGTAGTTGTTGATGAGACATTTTTTCAGCTTCTTAAACAAGTTTATTTAAACCCTGTATGTAGCCTAACCTAACCTAGCCTAGCCTAGCTTAGCCTAGCCTGTGGTGTGAAGGCCAGCCTTACCCAGAAATAGTCACAGTAACTCCACTCGTCTGGTTTCAGGAGCTGCTGTTCACACACAGAAGACGGCGATGGAAACGTCACACTGTTGATCTGAGGGAACGGAACACGGAAAAGTTCTCAGGATCAACACATCAGGTACTAATCACCTTTAGACCTCCAGACCATCAAAACAGTTCCAGTGCCTTACCGTCACAGTGCTCTGCTGGTAAGTGACACTGATCCAGGAGTCTGCACCGAGAAGAAGGAGGACATGATGAAGGACAACATGGAGAGAAGACTGTGAGGAGAAGATGATGAAGAACAACACCAGGTGAGCAGCCTGGCTCTGGCTCACCTGTGGTTCTGAGCTGCTCCTTCTGACTGGACTCTTGTTTGGAGGTTCCAAATGTTGTGAAGAACCGACAGCTGAGTGAAACCCATTCACTGCAGACAGACAGAAGAAAGGTTCCACCATCTAACCATTACTGCCATGTTCCACAGACACCCTGGCATTAACATGGACTGTTCTACCCTCTACTAGAACCTAGCTCAGACGCTGCTGCTCCGGTACCTGCTGGTAAAGAGCTCTTGTGTCGTATTAAGACTTTTGGACTCCCAGGTCTGCTGGACGGTCTCTCCCAGGTGGTCTCTGATGGAACATCGACAAACAGAGCAGAAAGAAGGCGGAGTCAAACTGGGACCAGGTATCTGATCAGACTGGTCACTGGTCAGACTGGGACCATGTGACCTCTTTAGTTCCTGAATTCTCATTGGTACCAGCAGCACACCTACCATTATTTGTGGTGTTGACATAATAGCGCTGCCCTTGTGGAGACAGGTAGCATCTCCAGTGAGGAGGCAGAGGGTCGCTGTGGTCCTCCACTGGAAGTTGACTCAGTGACGCCGCCCTCTGTCAGAAACAGGAAGAGAAAAACATCAGATGGTGTCAGAGATCCAGGAGCAGCTTGGTCAGATCTTCACGTTCTTCAACAACAAGTGTCCGATAGAAAACACACAAAACTCATTTGTTCAGATTCACAAACTGCTGAGCAGAACTGAGGACGGAGCTGGAACACTGGTCCACCACCTTCTCCTGGACCTGAAGTGGACCAGAGCAGGGAAGCATCTGTGTTCTAATATGACTCAGTGACGCCATCCCCTCTCAGAAACAGGAAGATGAAAAGGACTGTGACGTTTCTGAGGACCTCAACCATCTGGATCTCCATGGGGTAAGGCCTCATCTGGTCTGGGAGTCCAAGACAGAACCGAACCTTGGCCAGGACTCTCCTCAGACCCAAGGGGAGGAGGGAGGAGAAAGTGCAGCTGCAAAGACTTAGTTCTCACAGCAGCGTCTGCTGAGATCAACGTGTGAAAAAAAATAATCAGACGGTCCCTGGAGGCCGAGGCAGACCCAAGGACTGGAGACCAGGTCAGCATTTGATTCTGGTCTGGACAGATGTGGGAGCCTGGAGGAGAATCCACAGTTCCAGATGGAGAAACTTCATGACCTCAGAGGAGGAGCAGAAGATTAGAAGGTCATGTGTGTCCTCACTGTCCTCCAACTGCTGATGATTGACTCTGTGTGTGTGTGTGTGTGTGTGTGTGTGTGTGTGTCTCAAGAACCTCTGATCTGAACCAGTGTACCAAGAACCAACACACACGCCAGAGGATCTACACACACTCTGCTGCAGGAGAACATGAGTCCAGAAGTCTTCAGCTGAGTGGAGAACCTGGACCCGAGCCAGGATCCTCTGGAGGAGATCTGTGGACCATCTGGCCCAGGAATGCTGGAGGATTCTGGAGGATGGGGTTAGGAAGAAGAACGTCTGGGCCATGGCACAGCAGCAGAGGTAGAACAAGTAGAACAAGTGTGATGTTGGTGCTGACACAGAACCAGGAGACAGACCAAGTGTTCCTGAAGGTGAAAAACCTGTGACCAGGACAACCACATGTTCTCCAACAAGACGCTAGAAAAACATACAGAGGATGGAGCACAGGAATAAATACAGTGTATTTATAAAGTGCTAACGAAGCCTTTCTGAGCCATGGTCAAACAGAGTGACAACACTTCCTGTCAGGCTTTAAGAAGAAGAAGAAGAAGAAGAAGAAGAAGAAGAAAAAGCCCCAAATGATGAAACAGAAAGTTCTCTTTTCACTCAATCTGCTCAAGGACTTTCCAGGACTTTTCCAGTCAGTTTTACAACAACGCCATGACTAAAACTCACGTTTAGTCCTGGAGAAATTCTAAGATTTCTTAAACTTACTTTCACCAAGTCACAGCTCTCTCTATGAA